CATTAGTGTGGTGGTGGAAACACCAACTGGAAACGTCCGGTTCATAGCAGTTTACTGCCCACGTCAGTGTACCACAAGCAACGGCCTAGACATCCAATTCAAGAACGACCTGACCGCCATCACTCGTACTAGCTCCCGATTCATCGTTGGGGGCGACCTGAACGCCCGCCATGAAGCTTGGCGGAACTACCAGCGGAACCGGACAGGATGTCTATTGTTCGACCACGCACAACATGGGCTGTACACTGTGCAATTTCCGGACGAACCAACTTTCATCTCTCCGACGGGAAATCCCTCCACGCTGGACTTCTTCCTGTCGAACATCGGACTATCCAAGCCGGAGGCGCACAACGATCTCAGCTCCGACCACCAACCGGTGGTGACTGAAGTCGGTGTCAACGTGGTTCCTGCTAGAAGCTGCTTGCGTAAAGACTACCACCATGTCAACTGGGTGCAGTACGGTCGAATGGTGGACAGCAACATCGATGAAAATCCACTGCACGACACCGTAGATGAAATCGACCGGGCGTTGGAAGGACTCCAACAGGCCATATCCGAGGCTGACGAGACATGCGTTCGACGAGTTCCTGTGAGGGGTAAGTTTGTTGCTATTGATTCCCACACCCAATTATTGATTCGATTGAGAAATGTGCGTAGACGCCAGTTTCAGAGGACTGGAGACCTGGGCAAGAAACGTGAAATGGCCGATCTGAACAGGCAGATTGCTTCCAGAATGGACTCACTCCGAAATGAAAGTTTCGGGCGTGTTGTCCAGAATCTGGACGACCGCTCCAGACCATTCTGGAAGGTAGCCAAGGTCCTGAAAACTCATCCCAAACCCGTTCCACCTCTCAGAGTCGAAAATGATGACGTTCGGCTTTTAATCATCCCACAGGAGAAAGCAAATGCGATTGGCAAGCATGTCGCTTCATCGCATTTGCTTGGCTCGACTATCCAAAGTCCGCTCGAAGATCAGGTTGCGCTATGCGTTCAAAACTTAGATGCCTCCCCTTGTGCCGTGCCTCCGGCGGATATGATTACAGTACAACAGATTTGCTCAGCGCTGAAATGCACCAAGAACATGAAAGCTCCCGGGTTTGACGGTATATTTAACTTGATCTTAAAAAGACTCAGCATGAAAGTGCAGTCTCTTCTAACCACTATCTTCAACAGATGCTTGGAACTGCACTACTTTCCAAGCATCTGGAAAGTAGCAAAAATCATACCAATCCGCAAGCCCGGTAAGGATCCAACATTGCCTTCAAGCTACAGACCAATCAGCCTCCTTTCAGCGCTGAGCAAATTGTTCGAGAAACTCATTCTCAATCGTTTGCTCAAGTTTGTCGAGGAAAATAACATTCTCCTTCCGGAACAGTTTGGTTTCAGAAAGGGGCACTCCACCAATCACCAGCTAGTGCGGGTGATGAATAACATCCGAAGTAACAAAGCTGTATCCAAGTCCACAGCCATGGCCTTGTTAGACGTTGAGAAAGCGTTTGATAATGTCTGGCACAATGGGCTTGTATACAAGCTTTGTAACTTCAACTTTCCATTACATCTGGTTAAAATCACCCGTAACTACCTCAGCAAAGGTCGTTTAAGGTATCGTTGAATGGTTGTCTTTCCGACACGTTTTCCATCCCAGCAGGAGTCCCGCAAGGCAGCATTTACACTTCCGACATTCCTCCCCTTGGAGACGGTTGCGTGTTTTTCCTGTTCGCAGATGATACCGCAATAGCCGTCAAAGGAAGGATGCCTCGCGAAATAACGAACAAACTTCAACGATGCCTTAACGCCTTTGCTGATTATGCCACCACGTGGAAAATTAAAATCAATGCCTCCAAAACACAAGCGATCATGTTCCTCCATCGGTAATCGCCGAAACTGAAACCGGCTCCATCTTGTACTGTAATCATGGATAGCACAAGGGTTGAGTGGTCTGCCGAAGTAACCTATCTCGGGATGTTGTTCGATGAAAAGCTTCTCTTCCGTTCGCATGTGGAGAAAACAGTAGTCAAGTGTTCTGCCTTGGTTAGGTGTCTGTATCCGCTGATTTGCCACAGATCCCACCTCTCAAGGCTGTCTACAAACAAATCATAGCACCTGCGATCGTCTACGCAGTTCCGGTGTGGGAATCATGTGCACAGACTCACAGGAACAAAATCCAGGTCGCTCAGAATAGAGTGCTGAGGATGGTACTTGATCGTCCTTTCGACACTAGAATAACACATTTACACGAAGAGGCAGGCATTGCCAAAATAGATTCCAAAATTAACGAAATTAGCACTAAATTTACACAAAAATGTATTTTATCAGAACATGCTTTGATAAGCAATTTGTATATAGTAGATTAGGTGTATATAGTAGTTGTAGGTTAGTTATAGTTGTAAATAGTAGTTATAAGTAGTCTCCTTTTTCAAATTTAAAACAAACCAATCCCACCAAGGTGGTCACACTTTAAAATAGGCCTGATAGGACTAGGAACTGTAAATAATAATTAAAATCTCAACTGTACTATAGTTGAAAAGACGCATCTGTGTCACTTGAAAATTTCATACATGTAAACCACACAAACACAAGAAATAAAGATCATTTAAAGTCAAAAAAAGTCAAAGTCGCCCGCTCCATCATTGTCTGCAACTGCACCTACGAACGGTATCTCGATGTTATTCGCTCCTCGATCAGCCGACCAACTGTCATGTTGAAGCGCTCCATGTCACAACTGTGGACCAATTCTTTCAACCCGTGGATCGCTGGGAAACTGGGCTCCAACATGGATCTGCAGTTTATATTGGAGGTGTTCTCGTGTGCTGCCTACGTCGTAGATTATGTAAATAAATCAAAAAGGGGCATATGCAGCTTTCAACGTGAACTCGTTAAGCTGCAGGAAGAGCATCCAGATCAAGACTACGGTGGGTTACTTAAGCTGGCTAGCTTGAAAATGCTCAATTCGGTGGAAATGGCGGCTCAGGAGGCTGCGTGGTATCTGCTTCGGCAATCGATGTCGGAAGCTAGCCGAAGGTACTGTTTTATTGAGGTAATATTATTTCAAATTATAGTTGAAATTTTCCTACTTTTATAGGTTGAGTTCATTCCGACAATGTGGCCACAGCAGCGTATCAAGTCCCGAAAGCGTACCGAACAAATGGACGAGGAAGGACTTCAGCCTGATTCCACCGACGTTTGGACCCTCAACATCATCCAACGATACGAGGCACGTGCAGGGTTGGATGATGTGTGTTTGGTGGATTTTGCCGCGCACTACACGGAGGATAGGAAGAGCGGCCATAAAACCTACAAGTTGCGTGGTTTCCTCGTGTGCTGCGGTGGTGCTCGTATGACATGACGGACACGATCGAGTACAAACGGGAGATGGTACTACTCTTCATGCCATTCCGCAATGAAGTTTGCGATGTGCTCGACCGGAACAAATTTGAGCAATTGTACGAGGAACATGGCGCCACCATACTCGCCAAACGCAAGGAGTACGACTGCGATATCAACCTTGAGCAGATCGTTAACGAATATATTCGGATCTCTGATAACCATGGTGATCAGCAGGAGGTTGGCAGCAAGAAGCACGACGAGTTCGTTCGCACCATCAATATGGAACCCAATGATGACGACATCCATACCCTGCCTACTGGACCATTAGCTGCAGTCGTCAAACAGCGTTCGAACGATATGCCGAAGCAGGCCTACGAGATGGTGCGCGCTACAAACGCAGAGCAACGTGGTTTGGTTTTGCAAGTTATCGACAACTTGCACAGTTTCGATGGCAACAGAAAGCCCGTCCAGATATTCTTCACTGGCGCGGCAGGCTGTGGTAAGACTTTTACCCTGAAGATTCTGATGGAAACTGTCAATCGGTTCAGTTAGGCGCACAACAGGCAGAACAATGCCTACGTTGCATGTGCCTCTACTGGGAAGGCAGCAGTTGCCATCGGTGGAACCACAGTGCATTCGGCGTTCAAAATTACCATGGCTCGTAGGCAGAGCAATAGCCTGAGCTTTGAAGTGTTCCAGTTGTACCGTAATGCATTTGCGAACGTCAAAATGATCATCATCGACGAGGTCAGCATGCTTGGTGCCGATGTGCTCAACACCATCAACATTCGGCTTCAGCGGATCACCTCGAACCATGATGATCCGTTCGGCGGAATGCAGATTGTATTTTGCGGCGATCTTTGTCAACTTCCTCCAGTGTTCAAACCTTGTGCCAACTCTATTATTGGTGCGGTGTTGTGGCAGTCGCTTGATTTTTATCCGCTGGTTCAGGTTATGCGCCAAACCAACGAAGAGTTTTCATCCATCCTAACCAAAATCGGTAACGGAGAACGATTGTCACCGGATGAGATTAAGCTCATTGAGAGCAGATTTCGCACAGCTGAGTGGTGTCAGTAGAATGTACCCCGTGCGATCCGACTGTTTCACCGGAACATCGATGTGGAACGGTACAATTCTGAAGCGTTGGTTGATCGCGATGCAGTTGATTGTACGGCTGATGACGTCTACTCGGGCTACAAAGACAACTCGCAGCTGGCTGGTGCTCGCACGAAAATGCATAAGATGAGTACTGTGGAGACTGGGGGCCTACCATACCTACTGCGGCTGGCACTGGGAGCTCCGTATATGTTGACCACCAATGTTGACGTCGAGGATGGCATCGTGAATGGCGCGATCGGGGAGCTTATGTTCGTCGAGCATAAGGAGGACGATTCCCAGCAATCTATCTAAAGACTCTGGATGATGTTCGAGAACGAATCCATCGGAAAGATTCTGAGGGTGAAGGCCAGACCGTTGGTTGCCATGAAGCCTACCGTTTTGAAGCATGAATGGACCCCTATCGTGATGCGATCGGCGAACATCAACCTCAACGGTGGCATCAAGTGCAGGAGAGTAAAGTTCCCTGTGGTTAGCGCATGTGCTCTCACGGTGCATAAATCACAGGGCGGGACTTTCTCGGAAGTGGTGTTCAATTATGATAAGAGCCAGGAACATCAACTGGTGTACGTGGGTCTGTCTAGAGTGACTTCTATCGATGGACTGTACCTGACGAACTCCAGTAATGAGTTTAGGTTCCACCACGGGAAATGCTCCACAACGCCGAGCATCCAGGACCTCCGAACCGAACTGCAGCGGTTGAACAACCACCACTTGCGCACCATCGGAGATGACGTCATGGAAGCCATACTATCGAACAGATCCGCTTGCACGATGATGAGCATAAATGTGCAAAGTCTGAATGCACATGCATCTGACATTGCAACGGATCATGTTCTGAACGCCGTTGACTTACTCGCGTTAAGCGAAACTTGGATGGATGATGGCACTAGCGTAGCTATTGCTGGCTATGACTGCATCGTCCAACAGAAGCGCCACGCGACCAGAGCTGGAGGGGTAGCCATCTACCAGAAAATTGGTGCATCGGAAATAGCGGTAGCCCACGATATTCAGCAACTCAGTGCCAGCCGGGATGCACTGGTGGGCGCGGCGGATCAGTATGGCGACATCTGTGCAGTAGAAACGTCGATCATGGGGACTCGTGCGTTGCTGTTTGCGTTGTATCTATCACCAGGTATAAAAGTTACTGTTGAATTTATTATTAATATTTGGAAACTAATAAGGTTTCTTGTCTTTACCAGATACAACGTTAAAGCAGAAGAAGTGTTTCTTCGCGCGAAACCTACTATCCTACCACTACTTTCGTTCGCCGATGCCCATAGTTGTTACTGGAGACTTCAACATCGATGTTTCGAAATCAGAAAACAACGAGCTCATTGCCTTCATGTCGCAATACCTCCAACTAGAATTGGCCACAGATCGAGCCCAGGCGACTACCCTTGGTGGGACATGTCTCGATTTGACCTTCCACCGGAACATTCAGGTTGAATGTACGAGGTACATTTCGTACTTTTCGTACCACCGGCCCATGTTGTCGGTGCTTTCGATGCCTGACGGTGAGTGTTCATATTATGAATGGTTGTAATTATATTCATGCTGATTATGTATTTTATTTTTAATTGCATTTCTACAAAACTTATTTCAGAATCGAACTCGTCTTCACAGACTGTGTGAAGAAGAACGATGCATCATCGAGCACAACCCGTTCCGTTCCAAAATCGTCCTCATCACAACCTCCAAAACAACCATCTACCCTCTCGACATCTCGAGTGGATTTCCCGGTTCATCATACCACCTAGCGCTGTTCTACTGATTGGTAATAATATTTACCCGGAGTTCACCGCACTCGTGGTTGAAACAAAGCGCCCGGCATGCAAACCGCTCATCAAAATCGCCATCGCCATCCGGTACCTATGCTCGGCATAACCATCATTCCAAAACCACAACCAAAACGGCCCTTTTCAGGGCCACCAATAATTCGACAAAGAGTTAGTTTTGAAGACAATTTCTTTCCAGAATATCACAGTTACACTTAAATTTGGGGACTATACTGGGGTGTGGGAACACTGGAAGGGGAGATGCTGTCTGTCTTCGAACTACCAACATCATTTCAAAGCTCCTCCAGAGCGACAGAGTAGAGCAAACCCAACAACATCAGCCCAACAAAACGGCCCTTTTCAGGGCCACCAAACTTTCGCAAAAGAGTTATTAAGGAATATTCCTAAAATATAATATACACAATTAAGTACAACACATAACAGACGTTATCCAACGCCAACCCTGCGGTCGTATCTAGTATACAACCCTTCCAACTTTTTTTTAAATTGTTTTACCTTTGCAGAGTTTTGCTAATGGAAGAATTATTCATGGATACTTGTTTTTATAACTCTTGTATGCTTAAGTAATCTCGATTATTTAGCAAATTGATTATTTATTTAAATGGTGGATTAATTAAAAAGGCAAAGTTGAGTTCAATCATACCATGTAATTAAAACATTCATACAAGGTTGCAAAGACTCATTTCAGCTAAAACAATGTTTTTCTAAATTATGAAATAATTAGATGCCATGATCAAATTTTGAATTGGTAGGATACAAGAAGAGGTTGCAAAGAATGTGTTTGACATATTAAACCTGTTTATTTCACTTCATGAGAGTCACAATCAGCGATTTTTCACAAACTCACTCCCTCACTCACTCACTCAGCGATCAGCAAATCGCTGATTGTGACTCATAGAAAGCAAAATTTACAGGTTTTATGTTTCCAACGCATACTTTGTAACCTCTTCTTGTAAGTTTCAAGTAAAACATGCCATCATACCATCTTTTGATTTTATTATTCCGAAAAACATTATTTTAGCTGAAATGAGTCTTTGCAACCTTGCATTCATATATAGCTTGAGTTTAAAGAAATTGAGTTACTAAAATCGAGACGGTTTGTATTTTGTTATATTTTATTAATTATACATCGACGAGATGGATCCGGAATTTTGACGTATGTGTTTGAAAGAGATACCTGTGATGGGTCGAAAAAAGTCCTTTTTATTTATTTATACAGTAACCCCTCCCTATCGTTAGGACATCAATTCAGCTTATCGTTTACCAAAACGAACCCTGCTGCAAACTCTACCCTGTTACCCAACATCCCAGAGGATTTCTCGGCTTCCATCAAATCGAGTGTCACGTCAACGCATTCCTACCGATTCCTTTCTTAATCTGCGGGGCGCGGCCGGCGCTGGTATTGCCTAGTTTTAGATCACCAGTTTTAACACATTGAGGATGATTGCTAGTCCCAAACATCGCTGATCTGGCAATAACAGAGTAGCAACCGTGGGCTGTCAATCATGCAATATTATTGATTCTCATCTCGTCGTTTTTTTGCGGATTAAGACTTATTCAGGAAATCCAACAGCAGCACCTGGTAGAGTAACTTTTCTCTAACAAATGGTGTAGTTAGTTTGCGTGGACGTGTTGTGATCCATGAGTAATCGACGTTTAAAAACATTGTTTACATTCGGCACATAGAACATTATCACATTTTTTTTTTATAAAGTACATAAAAGTCTGAAGGGTCTAATCGGAATCGACCGAATTAGAAAAAAACTACAAGGGACAGCCCAGCCCTATGGGGTTGTACGCAATGGTGACGTAGGACTACGTGGACTTATATAATAAATCTTATTTGTTATACTCTTTAGTATGACGCGCTTGCCATAGATGACCCACAATGACTTACGAAGAGCTACTGATTCCGATCAATAGCGGTGCGGCTTCTTCCTCCTTCTATGGATGCTCATGTCGGCTGCAGCTCGCTGCGTGCTGGCAGTCTTTTGTTGTGTACTGGAGAACGCCACCACTCACCACGCAGTGAGACCGGATGGAATTCAACTTTGAAATCTGTGTTAGGGAAATCGCTTTTCGCAGGCAATCGGTAATAATTTTCATTTGTGCAATTTTCAATAGCGACATTTTGAAAAATGACAAAGTCTTAAATTTAACAGATTAGTCGAAATATTTCTGATCGATTGGTGATAAAATTATTGAAATTGGTCCAGGGGCAGCTGAGTTATTAACGTTCAAAATCTTTCATAATATTGTTACATGTTCCATTTTTGGTTTTCACAAAGTGTACCCCCATATAGAAATCACAGACGTAGTCCACGTCAAAAGTCGCCATGATTCACGCTGCCAGTGACGTTTGCTAATGGAATTTCCCCTCGGACTGAAGAGTTACATAAGCTTTGTAGACGCGAATTAACGTACCGCTTCGACGCGGACTTTCAGTGGAGTGAAAGGGTAAAGAAACTATCTGCTATGTTTCTCGAAACTGACATTTGACTATGGGATTTACCTACAGGAGTAAAGAGTTGCAGAGTCGTCGCCAACGCAAATGGTTTCACCAATACCAATATAAAGTCATAATATAAATTTCGTAGGCCATAATTAAAAAATGTCTCAAAATGACGTCTCAATTCATGAAATTATAAGGTTTTTGGATCAGTGTTCACTCGGCTGTCGACAACAGCAGTCGACTGTCGATGTTTGCCACGCGATCGTCTGTTTTCTCGGCAGCAACCATTGTGTGGTCCTCCTCATTGTTCTTCATCAGCAGTTCTTTCGGTCAATGCGTCGTCGACTTTGGAAAGCAACCGTTTCGTGATGAGTGTGTGAGTGTTGACCACGTTTTGCGTCCATTGCTACAATGGAAGCGCTTTGCCCCACGATGGCGTAACTACCATATAATGCAACCATTGGAAGCGGCTCCAGTTCTGATGGAGGAGGCTTTTTGAATAGCGGAAGATAAAGTTTTTATTGTGTTATACCTTTTGACTATAGTTTTAAGATGTATTGTATAGTGACCAAGAATCCTCGGCTCTGTAAAGTTAATTCGGTTGAGCCTTATCAAATAAATTAATGAAAAAAATAAGGTTTTTGGATGACCACTGCTGTTTAGATTTTCGTTAGTGCAATTGGCAAATCAAAGTTGGCCCTTGTGGAGAATAGAAGAACTATGAAAGTGATGATGGTTTCAAAATTTTCCACGGGGAGGTATACGAGTGCAATCTTAAAATGCTTTTATTTTGCAAATGGAGCATTTTATTTAAATCTGGTTTCTGCTACAGTGGTAGAAAAGCTGAAATCTATGTCTACACATAAAAATCTGAAAATAAATTATTTTTTCTATATTATATGCCTTTTGAGTAGTCCTTAAGTTTTCTACTAACGTAACATTAACCAGATTTAAATAAAATGCTCAATTTACAAAATAATAGCATTTTAAGATTGCACTCGTATACCTCACCGTGTAAAATTTTGAAACCATCATCACTCTCATAGTTCTTCTATTCTCCACGAGTGCCAACTTTGATTTGCCTATAAACGGCAATATCATGGCGCATAGAAATCGAAAAATATGATAATTTTACTAACCTTTTTCTAATAAAAAAAAGCAATAAATAAACTAAATTTGTCCGAAAACTAGGCAATGTTTTCACGGATTACAATTTCACAACAGATGTGGTATTAGATTTTCATTACTATTATGTATTATTGCTGAATAAACTATTTGCTTGATACGTAGAAGTAAGGGGCTAGGCTGTCATTACACCCCGTAACCCTATAAATTGAATCAGAATTGCCTTGAAATTTTATTAGGGCAATTGAGGCAAAAAGGAGGACCAAACAATCACCCGTCCCCTATTGACACACTTAACAGACTTTTAATACTTGGTAAAGGTTTATAATCCCAGCTAACCCCGAACCAAAACTCCCAAAGTATCCTAATCTAGGAAGATTTTGTAATATGCCAGGTATTCAAAGGAGCTGATGAAACTATCGCCGATGACGAGGGTCAAGAAAGCGACATTTACATCCTGGGAGTTCCAATGGAGGAAACTCCAACAATAGAAGAGGACGGCGGATTCCAATATCCAATAGGATTCATTGCACTATCATTGAAAAAAAGACCATCCAGAGCTCGGATCATATACGTACGGCGCTTTAACAGATCCTTCGACGCAGTGGTTGAATGATGCCAGACAAATGAACAAAATGTTCAATTTACTGCATAACGTGAATGAGGAGGTGGGAACATGTACGGGCTTCATCGCTTAAGGTGTTAACAAAATTGATCCCTCAAATTCAGAATAAAATCATTTTCAAATTTATCAAATATAAAATCAACATAGGTACAAAATCATCGAAAGAAAATACATGAAGGCAAAGTGTCTAAAAAGTACGATGATGTAAAAAGTGCCGTTACCAAAAAAAAATGCTATGAAAATTAAACAATTCACATAACCACCGTTCTATGAGCCATTCAAGTCGCCTGCAAGGACTGTTTCGACAAAATGTTAATCTTTGCGTGAAAGCAACTGATAAAAAAAAACTACAAGGGACAGCCCTATGGGGCTGTATGCAATGGTGACGTAGGACTTTGTGGTCTCATATATTTAAATCTTATTTGTAAACTGCAGCAGAAGCTTCTGTTTTGTGCAGGAATAGGAATTTGAGCGGGGTTTTCTCTGTTTATACTTTTTAGTATGACGCGCTTGACATAGATGGCCCACAGCGACTCACGAAAAGCTACTGATTCCGATCAATAGCGCTGTGGCTTCTTCCTCCTTCTATGGATGCTCATGGGGACTGCAGCTCGCTGCTTGCCGGCAGCCTTTCGTTGTGAAATGGAGATCACCACCACTCACCACCCAGTGATTGAATAAACACCGTTTGATGAGACCGGATGGAATTCAACATTGAAATCTGTGTTAGTTAAATCGCTTTTCTCAGGCAATCGGCGA